TGGGGAATACAATAAACTGAATGCTGTATACTGTTTCAAATCAAAACATCTAAAATAGAAAAAAATTACTAGACATGTAAGTAAGCAAGAAAATATGACCAAAAAATCAACAGACAAATAGACAGTAGAAGCATATTCACAGATGACTTCAATATTGGAGCTGACAGATACGAAATGTTAAAGAACCACAGAAAAGCTCTTTAAATATGCTTAAATGCAGTCCATATACAGAAGTTTCTTACTGAGGGAGCTAAAGAGTAGTCTGATATTAGCATATAAAAATGCTTTCACATGTTTTTGAGGCACTCCGGTCTGATGGGTGTATTTCACTGATCAGCCTCATCAAGCATGCTTATTAAAATGTAGCTTATCGGACCTACTTGGCAGGGGGAACCCTCCCTATGATTGGATAGGATATAAGAGCCTACATTTTAAAATAGCATCTGAGGTGATTCTAAAGAACTATAAACTTTAAGAACCATGAACAGAGAGAATTTCTGCTATTGCTTTTTGTGATTCTGAGATTCTGAATATCCCAAGCAGAATTTCTCTCAAGATTTTATTGATATTCTTGAGGCACCCAAAATGTCTATAGGTTATAATAAAATTGGCTTACACCACGTCATACCACACACGCTATTAAACAAACAGCATTTACTAGCAAGCGTACAGAAGAAGGTTTTGTGGTCTGTTTTGTAACTCAGACTGAGGGCAGCATTCTGTTCTTATAGAGCCTCTGACCACAAGAAACATGAGAAGCTCACCCAGAAGCAACCATATTCTAGAGCAGATTCTTCACCCAGGCTGGAGTGCAGTGGCACGATATTCTCTGCTCACTGCAACCTCCACCTGCCGTATTCAAGTGATTCTCCTGCCTCTGCCTCCCAAGTAGCTGGGATTACAAGCATGTGCCGCCACACCCAGCTAATTTTTGTATTTTTAGTAAAGATAGGGTTCACCATAGTTGTCAGGCTGGTCTCAAACTACTGACCTAAGGTGATCCACCCACTTCATCTTCCCAAAGTGCTGGGATTACAGGCATGAGCCACTGCACACTCCCCTATTACTCTTACAGTTGGTATCAGGAAACTAAAATTATATAAACGTTGGCTGGAAAAACGATAGCAAATTTTGGGTACTATACCAAAGAATAGAAGTTAAATCCTGGGTTACCTGATGGAGAAGATCTCTGAAGTATTGTATCCAATCCACATATCATGAGCATCTGTAATTCCCCAAGAACTCATTTCTTACCCTTACAGATGCCATTTAAAATGCAAAATTTTCACCAGTGAGCACTTACTTCTGATATTCGCTGTGCCAAAATGCAAAGCATTAGGTGTTAATTGACATATGAATAATAGAACCTATGGTAGCTGTTCTGTAATGTGGCCTTTATGGTATGGCTGAACACATCTGGTTGGATGAGTAGTTTGCTAGTCTCAACTAGTGAATGCACACTCAGTATCACACAGCCCAGGCTAAAGTATTTAACTTGAGAGTTATAGCCATAAAGAGAACTGTCTGGAGAGGTGAGGGTACCGAGCGGTAAAGAGATAAAAGAAGTTCTTCTGTAGCACTTGGTGGTAGTAGGCACAGTAATTGCAATGGCTGACAAAATCCAGATCCAGAAACTTCCTGAGATGTTATAGAAATGGCTACATCTGACAAGTGGAAACACTGTGGCAGTAATGATCATTGCAATATTTACAGAGCACTAAACTCAGGCCCTGCACTGTGCTAACTTCTTCATTCTTCATTGATTGAATCATTTTACATATATCAAAACATCATGTTGTACACTGTAAACAGATAGAATTTATATCTGTCACTTAACCTTAATAAAACTGGAAAATATTTTAGAAGAACATAGTTACATAGAAAAGCAGCATAATGGAATTTTTTAAATAGACATTTTTTTAGAACAATTTCAGGTTCACAGCAAATTTGAGCAGAAAGTACAGAAAGTTTTTAAATACCTTCCCCCTGTCACACACCCACAGCTTCTCTCCACCCACATCAGCATCCTGCACCAGTAGTACATTCCTTACAAATAATGAGCCAACATTAACATATCATTATCACCCAAAGTCTATAGCTTACATTAAGGTTCACTCTTAGAGTTGTGCATCGAGTTTTGACAAATGTATAATGATATAGATCTACCATTACAGTATTATACAAAATTGGTTCACTGCCCTAAAAATCCTCTGTACTCTGACTATTCATCCCTTCCTCCCCCCAGCCCTTGAGAACCAATGATCTTTGTACTGTCTCCATAGTTTTGCCCCTCTCAGTATGTCATCTATTTGGAATCCTACAGTATATGGCCTTTTAGACTGGTTTCTTTTACTTAGCAATATGTTTTCAATTTCCTTCATATCTTTTAACATCTTGATAGCTCATTTATCTTTATCAATGAACAATATTCCATTGTATGGATGTACCATAGTGCGTTTATCCATTCACCTAATGAAGGACATCTTGGCAATTACGAAAAAAGTTTTTATAAACATTTATGTGCAGATTTTTATGTAGAACTAAGTTTTCAACTCATTCAGGTAAATATCAAGAAGCATGATTGATGGGTTGCATGGTAAGGGTATGATTAATTTTGTAAGAAACTTTCAAACTATCTACCAAAGTGCTATACCATTTTGTATTCCCACCAGCAATGAATGAGAGAGTTCTTGTTCCACATCCTGTCAGTATTTGATGTTGTCAGGGTTTGAGGTTTTATCCATTTTAGTAGGTGTACAGAAATACATCTTTGTTGTCTTAATTTGTAATTCCCTAATGATATATATGATATGGAGCATCTTTTCAGGGTGCTGATTTACCATCTTGTATCATCTCTAGTGATATGTTTGTTGAACTGTTTTGCCAGTTTTTTAATTGGGTTGTTCACTTTCTTATTGTTGAGTTCTGATTATTCTTATTTTGGATAATAGTTCTTAATCATATATATGATTTGATAGATTTTCTGTCAGTCTGTAGCTTGCCTTCCCATTGTTTTAACAGTGTCTTCTGCAGAGCAGAAGTTATTAATTTTAATGAAGTCCAATATCAAGTTTTACTTTCATGGATCATGCCTTGGATATTGTATCTAAAATGTCATTTACAAACACAAGGTCACCTAGATTTTCTCCTTTTTATCTTCTAAGAGTTGTATAGTTTTGCATTTTATATTTAGGTCTATGATCTATTTTGAGTTAATTTTTGTGACAGCTGTAAGGTCTGTATATATGTATCTAGATTCTTTTCTTTTTCTCTCTCTTTTTTTTGTGAGTGGATGTCTAGTTGTTTTAGCACCGTTTGTTCAAAAGATCTTTTCTCCATTAAATTTCTCCTGCTCCTTCGTCAAAGATCACTTAACTGTCTGTGTGGGTCCATCTTGACCTCGTTATTGACCTATCTGCTCTTTCACCAATAGCACAGTGTCTTGATTACTGTAACTACAGGAAGTCCTGAAGTTGGGCAATAGCAGTCCTCAGACTTTGTTCTTCTCCGTTAGCATTGTGGCTACTCTGGGTCTTTTGCCTTTTCATATAAACTTGAGAATCAGTTTGTGATATACACGAAATAACCTGTGAATATCACAAACTGGATATTTTGTGATATCTGGGTTTCTGACTGGAATTACTTTGAATCTATAGATGAAGTTGGGAAGAACTGACATCTTAACGCTATTAAATTTTTCCATCCACGAACATGAAATATCTATTTAGTTGATTTCTTTCATCAGAGTTTTATAGTTTTTCTCATATAGATATTGTATATAATTAGACTTGTACCTCAATATTTCATTTGAGTCATGTAATATAAATAGTATTGTGTTTTTAATTTAGAATTCCCATTGTTCATTGCCGGTATATAGGAAAGGAGTTGACTTCTGTATATCCTTCAACTTTACCATAATTGCTTATTAGTAACGGGAGAGTTTTTTTTATCAGTTGAGATTTTTCTACATTGACAGCCATGTCAGCTGCAAAGACAGTTTTCTTTTACCTTTTCCTTCCCAATACATATACTTTTATTTTCCTTTTCTTGTCTAATTTCATTAGCTGGGACTTCCAGAATGACGCAGAAAATGAGTGCTGAGTAGAGACATACTTGCCCTGTTCCTCATTTTAACAGGAAAGCTTCTGGTTTCTCACTATTAAGCATGGTGTTAGCTATATGCTTTTGTAAATGTTCTTTTTCAAGTTGAGAAAGTTCCCTTCTATTCCTGGTTTGCCGCTACACAGTGTGATTTTAATATTTAAAAAAAGGAGGACATAAAGCAGTGTGTACAATTTCATTCTGATTTTTGTGACAACTCTATTTTGCATTGGAAAAAAGCCTGGAAGTGAATACCTTTATAATTGAAAGTCGTCATTTTTGGCTGGATAATGAGTATTTTCTTCTCCACATTCTTCTGTCTATTCTAAATTCGCCCCGATGAAAAACAATATTATGAAAGGTGATTAGGTAGTCTGGAGAGAATGGCTTTCGGCGGTCAGGGGCGGTGGGGTGGTAGGAAAAAAGGATAAGAAAATGTTAACAAGGATATCTATGAAGAGGTAACTGATTTAGTAACTGCGTCGTCAGTGAGAAAGTAAGCGCTCTGAGGACCGGGTCCGACTGAGAGATCCCCGGTTAATAGATTAACTCACTTTGTGTCTCAGCTTTGCCTGTGAAACGCCATTTATTCGCTTGGCATGCTGAGCATGGAACCAGATTTCTTTATTTCCAAGTAGTTTTGCTAATTTACAGCGAGAGAGAGAAAGAGAGAGAGAGAGAGAGAGAGACATACATACATACATACATACATACGTACATACATACATACATACATACATACATACATACCTACATACATACATACATACATACCTACATACAGAGAGAGAAAGGGAGAGAAGTGAACAGGGAGTGGCAGGATTTGAGTCAAAAGAGAGGGGAGGAGGAGCGCTCCCGGTGCCCCAGGTTGCCGGGCGGAGCGCGGGCTCGAGGGCCGAGCGAATGCCCCGGAGGCGGGAGGTGGGCAGCAGCGCCCCCGCCTGGCCCCTGTGCGCCCCGACCCGACGCCTCCCCTCCGGACCAGGTGCCTCAAGAGCGCACAGCTGGGAGGGCTTTCCCGGCCCGGCGTCACCCGCGCCCGCCGTGTGCTGGGGCGGCGTCGTCGGTGACTGGCGGGGGGCGCGGCGCTGCCTCGGCTGCCGGGTAGCTGCGGCGAGCGCGGGCCGGCCTGGAGTCGCCAGGCTGAGCCGCCGCGGAGGCGCTCGGAGACAGACCGCGCGGGGGCGCACAGAGCGGCCCGGGGCGGCCGGCGCGGCGCGGACCCTCGGTGGGCAGCTCACCCCCGTCTTCCCGGCTGGCGGCTGCAGGGAGCTCCGGCCCGCGGCCCCTCCGCCTCAAGTCTGGGAGCTGCCGGCCCCACTCTGTCTTTGCCTATGGGGATCCGAGAGTTTCCCGGAGGCGCACCCAGGGGCAAGAGCATCGCCGTGTGAGTAGCGCCCCGGGCGTGGGTGCCCGGGCTGGCGGGCGGGAGGCCGGAGCGCCGGGGTGGCCCTTTGCAGCCGGGACACTGGGCAGTCAGGGGCTCGGGGAAGGGCGGCGCGCGCGGCGGAGCTGCTCTGGAAGTTTCAGTCCTTCTGTCCCTCGCCACCCGTCCCCACCTGCACTGCCCTGGGGAGCCCAGGGTAGGGCACTGGGGACAGCTGTCCAGGGAAGTGGGTGAGTGGCGGGGGGAAGAGCAGCCAGGGCTCTGCAGCGGCGCTCGCCCCCGGAGGGCCCCGGCCACGCTCTTGCTCTCGCCCTGGGATCTGCTCCTCACGAATCCCCCCCCCCGTCCGTGCTCCCCCTGCCCACCCACCTGCCCGCGGCGTTTGCTACCTCAGTGGCATGAGGAGGTCACCGGACGTCAGCCCCCGGAGACTGTCCGACATCAGCCCCCAGCTCCGGCAGCTCAAGTACTTGGTGGTTGACGAGGCAATTAAGGAGGATCTGAAATGGTCGCGCTCCGTGGAGGATCTCACCAGCGGGCCCGTGGGGCTCACGTCCATCGAGGAGCGGATCCTGCGCATCACTGGCTACTACGGCTACCAGCCCTGGGCAGCGAGCTGCAAAAGTAAGACCCCCTCACGTCATTTTCCTCGCCCACAGGTCCGTCTCCTTACCGTGGCAGCCTCGGGGAGCGCACGCAGCGAGGCGCCCAGCCACCCCCGCCCTCCCTGCCCGCTGACACAGACCCGGGTTTGCAACTTTGAGGAAGAGGCCTGGAGACCGAGTTCTCCTGGACCTCTGGGGCTTTCTGATGCGTTCTTTTACACCCCTTCGTCTCCCACACACAGGATCTCTCTGTATCCTTACCTCCCTCAAATATGGGGGACACTCCTATGTGGCCGACCGTGAGAAACAGATCTGAAACTCAAAGTATCCCGGACAGTGTAGTTTCCCCGCGGTCCTGAAAGTCTCACAGGGCCCTGGGTCAGGGCTCAGCAGGCTCAGCTGGAGATGCTGACTTAGGGGCCAGGATTTTAACTCTTCCTTGCGCCTACATTAAGTCTCCTAGCCCTGTAAATGGAGGACAATTCTTGGAATCTTCATTTTAGATGCTATGCACGCCCTTTTCCCCTGGATTTTATCCGTCTTCAGTAAGGAGGTTCTATAGAGATCACTCTAGATAGTGGTGTTGGTTCCCACAAGATGAATAGTTGGTGTCAGGTGGAGAAGCTGAAATGGTTTTCTGCCAATGGGCCGCAGCTGATGGCTTTGAGGATGCTGTGATCAATTAGACAGACATTATCTTATCTGGTGGTTAAGATGAATGGATTTATTTGGTGGACATTTCTTTTTCTTACTTTGCAAGAGAGGTTGATTATGATGAAGTCCAGATATTTATATATATAACCATAATTAAGTGTTCTCATCACCGCAGTTTGACATGAGATTGCCATTTGCCACCTCAGTCAGTATGAGAAATGGACCTTGACTTATTTCATTTGTAATAAAGACTAGATTAACAGCTTGTTGATTTTGAGTTTTTTTCAACCTTTTATTGCTTAAATTGAAACATTCTTTATTGGTCTTTAGGGGGGAAAAAACCCGGCTTTTGTAATTTAATCATGTTCATCACTGAAAAAAAAAAAAAAAAAGTCTATCTTTAGGTTATTCCTAAAACCTTTGATTCCAAGCCAAAGGTCAGTGGTATGCTAGCAGATAGCTGGTTAGTTTTAAATTATGTGCAGGAAGAAACATAGGATTTGAATGTTTTGTTTTCATGCCCTTACTTGCTTTTAAAAGACTGTGTTGATTCCACTTCATTGGGAATAAGTCTTTAAAAAAATTGTCTGTATCTCTTCCAATCTCTTGCCTCTGCTGCTAAAATTGGTTTTAGATTACAAAAGAAAGACAAGGGGCCAAATTCTCTTTTTGTGTGGAAAACACTGGGCATGGGATAACAAAAATTAAACTCCCTCAGAATACATATTTCTTATGAGTATGGATAGAACACTCAATTTTTATTTCTGTTTTCTAAATTTCTATTAGAAAAGAGCGATTTTCTATGCTTATTTCCATTTTCTGCTTCCTTAATAACAAAAGACAGTGGTACAAATTACAACCTCATGATGTCATCTCTTTAGTCTTTGAAGTCATAAATAGGTTTTATCTTTATAAATCTATTTGTGACTAGCTCTGTGTGCTTTGTGGAAGTTATCGCCAAGGTCTGTGATTTGGGGACTTGGCAGAGAGCTGACGACAGTGATGACTGTTTGGTACAAACATATTTTGTGATTAAGACAAAAGGGCCATGTGGAAATAGAGTCCCTTGCAGCACCGGAGGTATTCTTAAATGCCCTCCCTCTCAGGCTTTACTGAAAGAGTAAACATTAGCAGGCAAGGCTCCAGTGATCACTGAAATATGAGTAAAATCAGCTCATTCCACTTTCTCTATTCCTGTGAGGATTCTTCTTTATTCCAAGGTATTTCCTTGTTATTATAACGCTTTAGGTGACAACTGACATTTTGGTGAATTAATTAGTTGTTACGTTTAAATTTAGAGAAAGTAATGTTTTATTATTGTAGCAAAAGAAGTTTTTTATTTTTTTATTTTTTGAGATGGAGTCTTACTGTCATCCAGGCTGGAGTGCAGCGGTGCGATCTTGGCTCACTGTAACCTCTGCCTCCTCAGTTCAAGTGATTCTCCTGCCTCCGCCTCCGCCTCCTGCCTAGCTGGGATTGCAGGCGTGGCCCACCACACCTGGCTAATTTTTTGTGTTTTTTTGCAGAGATGATGTTTTACCATGTTGACATGGCTGGTCCTGAATTTCTGACCTCAGGTCATCCACCCACCTTGGCCTCCCAAAGTGCTGGGATTACAGGCATGAGCCACCATGCCCAGCCCCAAAGAGGTTTTAAGGCAGCACTTTTGCTGTTTACCATTTCTTTTCAATTAATAATAATAAGAGGTTTATCTGTTACCTGTAGGTATCAGCTAGTTGCCTTAATTGTTGGTTAGTAATTGTACTCAACAAACAGAGAGAGATGATAATTTTAAAAACTTCTTATGATCTCCAGACTGAGTTATGGAAGTTCTAAGCTATTATGTCACCTTTCAGTCATCTTTCAAAGTTATTTATCTATGTTCCAACTGAAGGAGTTGCCAGTGAAAGTTTCTAGACTCTTTGAGAGACGTAAGTCACTTGCCCTTGTAGCAGCAGAAATCATTTGAATGACCAAATATTCATTTGTATCCTCTTCATTTTTAGATTTTGTTTGCATTGTTAAGATAAATGAGGTAATTGCGAACAGTATGGAAATTACCTTTGCTCAGTATTCTCAATCAGTGAGATTCACAAGTTTCACTCTAGACAAGAGAATTTTGTAAAAGATTCTTTTCTTTTTTCTTTCTTTTTTTTTATTTTGAAAGGGAGTCTTTCTCTGTCACCCAGGCTAGAGTGCAATGGTGCAATCTCAGCTCACTGCAACCTCTGCCTCGCGGCTTTAAGTGATTCTCCTGCCTTAGCCTCCCGAGTAGCTGAGATTACCAGCACCCCCACCACACCCGACTAATGTTTGTATTTTTAGTAGAGACAGGGTTTCACTGTCTTGGCCAGGTTGATCTTTAACTCCTGACCTTGTGATCCACCCACCTCGGCCTCCCAGTGAGATTACAGGCGTGAGCCACTGCACCCAGACTTCTTTTTTAAAAATCCCAAAGACTCCTAGGTCTGGAAAGCATGGCTTCTACGGAACATTCAACTGAGAATTAAACCATAAACCAGTACGTAGGAAGGGCCCAATTCCTCTTCTCAGTGGCTAAAGTCCTCCAAGCTCCACGTTCCACGTTTTTTAACCAAACCACTTGGCAGTATCCCTGGGAATTCTTCCAGTTATTTTCTGTGAGTGGATCCAGGGCCGGGAAAGCACCTGGGCCACAGGAGGGGCTCAGTAAATATTTGTTGAATGAATAGATGGCTGCTGCCTGAAAGCATGACCTCTGGGACAGGGAGCTTTGAATGCACCTCTGTAGTGATTTGTATCATTTACTTCTTCATGCTCACTTCCCGTTAGTGTGGAATCACTTTACTCCGTCCTGGTTCTTCCATCACAAGTGCTTCCTGCATAGACTGGACCAGAGTTCTTGGTCATAGGCTTTGGGTAACCCCAGGGTTTCTCAATCGCAGCACTATTAACCCTTTGTGCCGGGTAAGTCTTTGTTGTAGGGAGCTGTCCTGTATATCGTAGGATGTTTAGCAGCATCTCTGACCTCTGCCTATTACATTTCAGTAGCTTACCATAGTGCCCCCTAAGTTGTGGCAACCACAGTATCCCATGGGGGGGGCTGCCTTTAGTTGAGACCCACTCGTTTAGCATAACCCCCAAATTTGTGCTGCAACAGAACTCTCTTCTGCTGCCCAGTAATGCTAAACAAGGAAGCCCACCTTACAAGTTCCAGAGTCTCCTTCCTTCACCTTTGTTCCTGTACCACTTTTTAGGTTTTCAGGATGGCCAGTTAGAATAATCACCACCACTGGCAGTGCAAGTGTCTTCTAAAGATTTGAAAGAGCCTCTTCCTTCTGCAGCTGGCGTGATTCCACAATCATCATAAACTGACGTCCTGTAGGAAGTGCTTTAGAGTTCAGTAGACTCTGAACAGTTTCTTTTTTTTTTTTTTTTTGAGACAGAGTTTCGCTCTTGTTACCCAGGCTGGAGTGCAATGGTACGATCTTGGCTCACCGCAACCTCCACCTCCTGGGTTCAGGCAATTCTTCTGCCTCAGCCTCCTGAGTAGCTGGGATTAAAGGCATGCGCCACCATGCCCAGCCAATTTTTTTGCATGTTTAGTAGAGACGGGGTTTCACCATGTTGACGAAGATGGTCTCGATCTCTTGACCTCGTGATCCACCCACCTTGGCCTCCCAAAGTGCTGGGATTACAGGCTTGAGCCACCGCGCCCGGCCTGAACAGTTTCTTTTAGTAACTTATTTGTCTTTCCTACCTTTTGCCCCAGTAGAGGAGAAATGACTGATTAGCATACCTTCTGCTTCCTTTTCCTTTCTCATTTCTCTGGGGTGGACACCAATTAAGGAGATGGCTAGAGATGGGAAGAGGAGAATCAAAGACCAGGAAAAATCTGTATGGTGGACATGGACAGCCAACCCCAGGCATCTTATAGGGTGGGGCAGCTGGGGGCATTTCCACACAGGCATGATGGAAGGAACATATTTTGGAGATTCCAGATAGAGGCTCTGCTGCAGGATGAAGGAACATCTACTAATACTCCTTTATTTTCATTTATTTATTTAGCAAACCTTTTTTCAGCATTCAGTGTATGTCAGAATAGAGAGAGAAGTGATGGCAGCAGGAGCTCACTATCCAGGTGTGCCTTCATCTAGAAATACAGGTCAACACAAACCTGAATTGGAACACAGACATACTAAGGGTGGGCAGGATGTTTTACTTTGCAAAAGGTTTCCCTAAAGGATGTTTTCAAATAGTGAACTATTAAATCCTTTTCTGGGAAAAAAGACCCCGAAACATTTTAGGAGTAACTTTTTTGAAGGGGATCAAGCTTATTGCTTAGCATGTGGTGGCATTATCATCTGAGTAGATTTATACACTATG